CCCCCCCCCCCCCCCCCCCCTTTTTTCCCGGAAACTGCATTAAATAAAACACCAAATTAAATTGAAAATAAGATGGATGCTCTGGAAAGTGCCTCAAGTTTGTAACACAGAGGCATAATGGTATTATTCTATTTCCCCATTCGTTGGGTGGTATTGGGCATTCTTAAGGCCAAAAACTAATTGAAGAGGTGAGACTTTTCTTCATACTTATAAACTAACCATTAGTCTCTTTCACAATCGATGTAGGACAATCTCAACAATCTTCCCCTCACACATCGGGCCTTGCGGGAGACTAAACCCTTCTACCCTCACACATCTGACCCTGCAGGAGATCAAACCCGTCTCTCCCTCACATAGCGGGCCATGGTTGAGCTCAAATTTGTCTCACCCTCACACAAACTCGCATCTTTCGTGATTGTTGAGTCTGATATTTGTTGATGACTTGGGCTCTGATGTCAGTGTTGGATGATATTACACATTCTCAATCCCAAAAGCTAACTCAAAAGGTGGGACTTTCCATTATACTTATAAACTGACAATTAGTCCCTTCCACAACCGATATGGGACAAACTCAACATCTGTGCTTTGTTATACAATACTTGAACTAAATGGTATAGAACAACATTAAAGAAAAATAGAAACTAAAATCTTGTAATATTATACCATCCATCTTGGTCAATAGTGCATAACAAACATAGCTGGAAGGTTCACTAATGTTTAAAGACTACTTTCGACAAAGAGGAGACGAAGTCCTGATACTATTTTCTGGATACATGATTTATGTTGTTTGTTTTTGGTCTTTGGATCAATTATCAATACATATAAATAAGAAGGATGCTGAGCCAACTATACCTAAAGGAATATTAATTGGATCTTGCTACCTTTTTGGTGAAAAAAATATCACATTCCACAAATTCTTTAACTTTTTCATCAAATTTATTCAATATGGAATACCACCTAATTTCAGAAGCCAGATTGGTTTCTATCTCAATTTAATTCTGATAAAACTGAAAGTATTCATATAATTTTTCAACTGATATAAGCCTTCTTATATTTTATCATTTAACTAATTGATGGTCCCTCCATTTAGCTTTTCTTGAAAGAATGAGAGAAAAAATATGATGAACGCACCTGTGAATTAGTAAAAGGAAAAAGAAAAGAGTGATGAGGGATTGCAAGATACTTTCATTTTACACTTTAGGTAAAGCGGATGATTTGACACAAATCAAAGGTTGAGATGCATATCACTACTTCGTAAATGGTATTGCATATTACTAGACGATATCAAAAAATAAAAAAGAAGTTAAAACTTACCCATAGTGCTAAGAAAAGCAAAAAAGAATCCCATAATATATAGGTTCTATTCTTGACCTAATTATGATCACATTCTGTTTGAAGAAATCATGGAAAGCCTTACAAGAAGGAAATATACATTCATTCATCTCCAATAAAAGAAGAATGGATTGAGACAAAAAGTGTCATAGAAAAGAAAACATGCCAGTGTCTTATTTTAAAGCCCAACATTCTTGGAGGGAGATGGAGATAGTGAGGGAAAAGAGATGAAAATTCACCTCATTTCTATATATCATAACATTTTGTACAAATCAAATAGTAAAAAATGATATCAACGAACTAAATTAAGAAGACTACTTGCATAAATTTCTTTTTTATTTCAATTTTTTAATGAGAAGTCTTTATCATATTAGCCCATTTCAATGTTTCATGTAACAAAAAAAAAAAAAAAAAAAAAACTTTTAATGTGAAATTTTTTTAGTTCAGTCCGGAATCTATCCTTGAACGCAACTATACAATTTACCTTATTATACTAATAACTTACGTGACATATAATTAGATCCACATTGGCTAACTGGATATCAATTATGTCAAATGAGCTTTGAGACAGTTCATTAGCCTATCTTAGCCGCTTTATGTGTGTATGCATGTCCTTTAGCCCATCTTGGCCTACCTTATATGCCAT